AGAGCTCGCTCAAGAGTTTGAGCTCTGAGCAACAGCGGTTCGAGTCCAGCCTGAGCTGAGCAGCCGCTGAGCTGCCAACACGTAGCAGAATGGCTCAGCTAAAAAAAAAAAAAAAAATCTATTAAAAAAATAAAATAAATAAAAAGAAGAAAAAAAAAAGAACTGTGGCTGACACAAAGCAGGTCCCACATGACTATTTATTTAGTGAATTAGTGAAAAAAATGAAAAAAAATCCCTAGCAAAGAATGAAAGTAAGTGATCCTGGGGCTCATGGAGGTAAAGTCCCCTTCAAGGTCACAGGGCTGAGCAGGACCTCGACCAGATAGATCCCTTATCCCCACTGAGCCCTGCCTCTCCCAAATCCAACACTCTTGCCCTTGGCCGCCTGAGAACCCAGGAATAAATTAGTGTGGTCCAGGGAAGGGTCCGGACAAAAGTGAAGACGGCTCCATTCATTTCTGGCTGGACTTCTGACTGCAGTGCTATTCATGCCTCAGTTTCTCAATCTGGAAGATGGGCACCTGCCGCCCCACTAACGCGTGGAGAAGGATTCAGGAGGAACAAGAAGAGTTGTCCTTCCTGCCTTTCTCCCCCCTCCGGAGGGGCTGGACCAGCCTGAAGTGCCCGAGGTGCAGCCAGTCACACCTGTGCTCGGGCTGAGGGGATAGGGTGGTGTTGTCAGAAGGTGCCTCCGACAGAGCCACAGGCTCAGGGCTGCGTGGCCCCTCATTTTCCTGACACCATCACTGTAGACTGGACAAGAAACCAGAGGCCCAGAGAAGGGAATGGGGCATGATTTGGGACATGGAGGGATCAAAGGCAGGCCAGACAAGACAAGAACGTGGGTATTGCCTCCCAGCTCAGGTCTCTCCCCTCCCTGAGCACAGGCAACACCAGGGTCAGGCTCTGTCTGCTCCACATGGGTACTGGCCCCCATTACTGCATCCTGGTCGAGGGCAGCCAAGGGTCTACAAGGCTGAGATTGACAGACAGGCCAGGCAGGGCCACCGGCTCTGACCACAGAGGCCTGACCCATGGGCTGAAGGCCTGGGAGAGGCCCATGGCCTCTGCATCCTCCAGGCTGCCACCGATGGTCAGGGACCTCGCAGGCACCAAGCCTGGCTTCTCAGGAGCCAGATGAGGCTGATAGGTGAGGTGGAGTGGGAGGCAACAGGTGTGGGAGCCTGGGCGTGGGCGCCGATAGCACAGACACTCTGCTGTGAGACGCCATGAGGGTTTAGGGGCCCCGACCTTAATGTGCCTGAGGCCTGGGCCTCCAAACGAGAAAAGGATCCTGCTAGGTGTCTAAGCCCCCACATCGGCCTAGGTAATTACCAGTTAAAACCACTCTCACTGGGAGTTCTACTAGTACAATTAGTACGACAGAATAAAGAAGGCTCTTCTGACAGCTGGCTGGGCCCGCCCACAACTGGGCTTCCACTGAACAAGGACCTGCTTGTTGATCCCACAGCGTCAGAGGCCTTAGGTCCTAATGAAACACACAGAGATGGCAGGGGAAGAAGCTGGGGTTTGGAATCCACAGCCTGGATGATGAAATGCATGTGCTGTGTCGCCCTGGGCTGGCCATTTAACCTCTCTGAGCCCATGAAATGAGGCTGGTAAAACAGCTTCACGTGGTGCTACACAGATGAAACGAGGACTTATAAGGCTATGGAACTTCAAATGCTAGTTCTTATTCTAACACTGGTGGAAACACCTTTGGTTGGCTTTTAAAATCTGTTTCTGGGTTTCACATGTGTGTAAGGCACATGGGGACATTCTCATCACAACCACCACAAGGCTGGGCAGCAGCTGGGAGGGGCTGGAGTCAGCAGCGACCAGGGCCAGGTTCACGCTAAAAGCGGGTAATTTTCTGCCCATCCCACGTATCAACCAATCACACAACTCTGATCACTGATCACTAGGTGTCCCATTTTACAAGGAGGGACCTGAGGCTCAGAGAGGGTGAGGGACTGCCTAAGATCACACAGCAGTCAGGAGGGGAACCAGGTCTTCCTGAGCTCAGGGTGCTGCTCAATTCATAGCAGCAGCTCCCACGAGAACTGTGCATGCCCTGACCCAGGGGATGTTGGGATAAGCAGGACATGGGCTGGGTGGTGACTCACTTTAATAGATGGCTCCCTGGGGGACGTTCTCAGGGTTACTGCCTCCACAGCTCTTCCTGGTCCCGAGCCCTGGGTCAGCTTGTCCCGAGGACAGAGCTCCAGCCTCAATTCCATATACTCTGTCCCCAGTCCCCACCCCACGCTCTCACTAGAAAGATGGCATCCAGAACCCACAGGCTGGAGTCCCATGCCTTGCACTGGGCTCCCAGCAGAGGTTAACAGCTGCCTCTGGCAGCTCACTGCCCCACCTCAGCCCACCACCAGTTCTGGGTTGGAAGGGACACAGGCCTCCTTGGCTGTCCCCTCCTCCTGCCCTCGTGTAGGAAACAAGTGGCTGAGGACCCCACAATACCTGTTGTTGCTCCGTGTCCCCTGGGTTCCTCTGCCGAAACCTCTCTTAAAGCTCCCTCCACCCTGAAAGCCTGATCTCCTGACAGCAGGAATGTCCTTAAGGACTGGATGCAGAACAGATAGCCTGGGCCTGTCCTGGCTCAGTCTCATAGAGGCTGTGCCATCCTGGGCGTGACACTGTCTCTCTGACCCTCACTGTCCTCATCTGGGAGATGGGGATGAATATCATGGCTGTTAACCGGATTGTTGGGAGGATGCAGAGTGGTGCTACAGGTGAAGGGAGGCTGGTGGCCTTGGCAAGAGGCCTCTCTCTGCTCTTGGCCCCACTGCTCTCCCCACCTTGGGCTGAGCTATCGTTCTTGGGTCCCCAGGTTCAGTCTGGTGTCTGCCTGAGCCCAGACCCCTGCCCCTCACTGATCACAGATGGGAGGCAGCGCAGATGGGGGACAAATATTCATGACTGTAGATTTAAAAGGTTAGTATACTGGAAAAAGATACCTTTGAGAACTTGAAGGGTAAATGGCGCCACGATTTGGAGTGAAATTTCTGCAGAGGAAAAGTTGGGCTTTGCCTGGCAGCACAATGAGGAGCCAAGCTGCCCAACAGGTCATTCCACAGGCCTGGACACTCACTGCATGTCAAGCCATGTCCCAGGTGCTGGGCGTGGGTGACATGACCACAGACTGCCCCACAGAGCTGAGCCTACTCCCTCCCCACCTGCTCCCCTGACAGCTGCACCCCCACCTTCAGGCTCCTGGCTGCTATGGACTCAGGACATCTGGGTTCTCCTCTCAGCTCTGGTCACTTTGGTGATGTGACCAGGGTTTTCCACAATGAACTTTGTCCCTCTCTTCAGCACTGCCCTTATCACAGTGACAGCATCACAGCCTGTTTACTCATCTGTCTCCTCAGGACCAGACTGTCTTCCTGGCACTGCCCAGGTCCACCCGACATTACATGATTCCTATTCTTGGGTGTGTTTGGGGGCGGGTGACTGTACACGCCCCTAGGACTCACATTCCTGCGTCTACCCCGCCCGACCCACTGCTCACCGACCCCCACACCCCGTAGACCTGGCTGCCTTGACCTCGGCAGCTCCCACTCCCCTGTGGGGGCCTGTCCACCACACGGTGACTCCCGCTTCATCGCAGGGGACACCCACCGCCCAAGGTTGTGCGCGCTCCCCTGCAGCCCGTGTTCCTCCGCGAGGGGCCATCGTGGGGGCGCTCGGACACTCAGCTCGCCGTCCCTACAGGCGCGTTCTCGCGGAGGTTGCAGGGTTACCGCAGAGTCAGAAACGCCCATCCCTGGAGTCCATACTCACCCATGTTGACGAAGCTCATGACCAGGTCCGTGCGGCCAAGGCGCCGCTCGCGGGGGCCGCCGTCCTCGTCGTCGTCGCCGGCCATGGCGTGGTAGAGGTCCAGCATGAAGAGCGGCGCGGACGCGGGCAGCCGGACAGCGGCGGGCGGCGCGCGGGGCCGTGGTCGCCCCGGCAGTCCGAGCACCGCCAGGATCTCGCGCTGCAGGTCGCGGCGCTCGCGCGGGCCCAGGCGGCGCTGCGAACAGCCGGGCGCGGGGCGCAGGCCGGGGCCGCCGCCGCTCAGCGCGCACAGCGCCAGCCCGAGGAGCCAGAGCGGCCCGGGGCGCGCGGCCATGGCCCGGCACGCATCCGCTGCGCCGTCGGTCCTGGGCTGGGACCCCGACGGCGAGCAGAGGACCGGCGTGTTCCGAGGCAGCGAGAAGAGACGGGAGTCCCCCGCGGCTGCAGCGCCGACCCAAGAGCGCTCTGCGCGCGGCACCTGTCGCGGCTCCGGGTGGCGTGGCCGGGAGAGCCACCACCTCGGATCAGGTGCTACACGGGGGTCTGGGGACCGTCAGGTAATCTATCTGTCGCTGCCGTGCCCTCCAGTCAGGCTGTTGCCGAGGTCCTCTCAGTCCAGGTGGCGGGTGACCTCCAGTGGGTGCTCAGGGAGGCGCGGCCTTGGAGACGCCCTCTCAGCCTGACCCGCGGTTTGTGCTCTGCGCCCCGGCCGCAGCGGCCCAGAGTCGCGAGCCCGGCCGTCGGGTCCCGCCTCTTCCAGGCCTGACCAATAGGGACGCGGAGGCGGGGCCAAGGCCGCGGAAACCTCGTCTTGGAAAGGGTTCCTGTTGGATGTTGGCGCGGGTAACGGCGCCCGGGAGATTCGACCTGCTGATGGGTGGTGGGCTGGTCGTACGCGGGGTCCGCAGCTCAGGCGCCGGGGTCGTCAGGGTCGTCCTGAGCTGCCCTCGCAGCGGCTGGCTACGCCGTTGGGCGGGCACGGGGCCTAGGTCTGGGGATCCCAGGGTAGCGGTAGGGCGGGGAGGGTCCTTGAGCGCCCTCGCCCGGGACGGTATCCCGAGCCTCGGTCCGGCCAGCGAGTGACCCGCCTTGGTGCGCGGAGTGTCGCCCCATGCCCCAAAACGCGGCCTCCGTCTTGTCTGGAAGGACTCCGTGGGTTCCAGCCCGGACAGCAGGGCGCTTTCCTCTCCCAGCATCTGCCTGGCCCAGGTTCCCTGCTACCGCAAGCTCCTCGCCAGCCTCTTGGCGTCTTCCCTGCTGTCTCCTTCCTTTACGCTAGCGCAGTCGCTGCTCCCAGTGCGCCCACCCACCTGGCTCTCGAGCGCTGCTGGCCAAGACCCCAGGCGGCCCGCTCGCCCACCACGCCCGCCACCCACCTATGGGTCTAATCTCCTGGGAGCCAACACCCGCGACACCAACCGCCAGCTCTTGCTGCGCCCGCTGCGGACCCCGCGTGCTGATATAGCCTTGAACCGCAGACGTGCACCTGCCTCCAGCCCGGCCAAGGACCTCGGGGGCCCTTCCGGAGCTCCTGGGAACCGCTTTTGCGCATAATTGTCCAGGCCCTCAGCGGCTTGGAAGGCCCCTCACGGGAACTTCTGGATTGACTAGCCCCTTTCTGCCCAGCCTGGTCTTCCTTAGGCGCTTTCTCACTGCACTTATTTATGGTTAAGGTGCTGCTCCTGAAGGAAGTGACACCTAGAATGGGCTCAGGCAGTTGGAAGAAATTGGTTAAGGACAGGAAATCCACATCACATCATTTGGGGCCTCGGATGTAGCCTGTAATTCTCAGGTTGTGTATCGCCCAATCCTGGCCTTCTGACTAGACTGCAAACAGCCCAGTGCTGTAATAGCAAAAATCATTTATCTCAATTTAGAATGAGTGGAGATGGCTGTATTCTTTAAATGGCCTCACATTCCCATAAACCACGTGGGCCGCTCTGTGTTGTGCAGTCAGAGACGAAGCAGACCAGCTCCGGGTCCCCAGAGCCCCCAGGTGAAGTCTTTTCTGAAGGCAGAATGAAGGTTATGCTCTGACAGAGGGGCCTGCAAAGTGAAGAGGAAGGGGAGAGGAAATAGGGGTGGGTGCTGGATGTAAGTGGAATCCTGGAACTCCAGAACTGGAAGGGAGCTGAGGTGGGGAAGGTTTCAAGAGAAAGTGGTATCAAACAAAGGCTTTTCCCAGCCACCTGGCAACTCTGTGAATTCAGGGAAATTAACCTCTCTCAGGCTCAGCTTCTCATGTATAAATGGGGCTCCCAATTCTAGGGTTGTGATGGGGATGAAATGAGAATGTACATAGAGCACTTGGCACAGTAACAGGCATACAGTAAGCATTCAATAAATGTTAGCTATTCTCATTTAAGGCCCCAGGAATCCCCATTCATCCTCTACCCTACACCAAATTTGTGTTACTTGTTTAGCACTTGTATCATAGAACTATAATTTTATTTTAACCCCCTTTCGGGCAGCCCTGTATTTCCCACATGGTCTTGCATACAGCAGTTGTCTGTTGAATCGAAATATACTTTCTGCATACTCCACTAGCTGAGCTTTGTTGCAAAGACTGAGGGAAAACCTTAAGAAAAACAAGTGACCATCGTCCAGATTTAAAAGATGGAGGTCAAGCTGTTTTCAGCATGCTTCTGCAGCCAGGCCCAGTAGGGGAAGCAAATTTGGGTGAAAAGGATTCTACACAAAGTTCTGGCATCTTTAAGTTGCTCAATTCTGTGGAGAATAGAATAAGCACTTCCTTCAGAATCCATGAGGCTGCAGATTCCTTTTAATCTGAATATTTGCCCTTAAACAACTTTGGCCAACATGGCCCATCTTACCAAATTCCACAATTACAAGGAGTATGGCCTAGCGAGTAACACAGGTAGCTGAGTTTGAACCCCTCTTACCTCTCAGTTCTCTGCTTATCTCCTAGTCTAATTCCTGTTGTTACAATTAGTTAATATTTGGCTGTTCTAATTATTATAAAGCCAACTAGGAGCTGGAGGAAATAGAACTGCCAGGCTTGACTAGGGAGTCAAGGGTTACATTCAAGGTCCACGTTTGTCATTTATTGTGACCTCAGGCAAATCACTCTCATCTACTTTTCCATTCCAGTTTCTCCCAATGTAAAACAAAGGAGCTAGATTTGATGAACAATTTTGCTTCCACCTCTAAAATTCTATCATTTAACCAGAAATTTCAGTGTACTGTGGGAAATTGGCCACATTTTCTCAAACCCTAGGATCTCTGTGATTTCTAATACAGAAATCTTACATATTGGTATTTGTTTAATCACATAAGTGGGGCAGATTCCCTACAGATATGTTAATAGCCTGATTATTTGTTGCCTTGTTAAATGAAATTAATGAGGATAAAATAAACAAGAAAAACTCTTATTAATAAGATCCATAATTTATCCATCAAGACATTTTGATTTGAATAATGCATTGAAGTACCTAAAACATAGTCATATCCCAGAGTAACATGTTATATATAAGGTAATGGTTGAGCAGAAAAATCAGGAAATACAAAATATTTGTTACTGCAAGCAATTTTAATACAAAAGTGTCTTGTTTTTAAACAGTTCATTGGTAGAGCTTCAGTTTCTGCCTCAATTAAAACCAATTGAGATAATCACACAGCAACATGGTCGGAGCTGAAGAGGAACAGCAGCTAAAAACAGGAGCCCCAGACAGCCCCTCTTCATGGTCACTTGGTCAGTTGACTTTATTACGCACAAAAAAAAGACGGAAGCAAACGGGACTTGTTAACAAGTGTGCTGGTGAACTCCTTTAAAGGATGAGCAAGTGTTTGTTTTATGTCCACATTTTCAGAATAGGCTCGTGGAATTCATTCCTCAGTTTGTGGGAAGTTGATCGACCATTTAAATAAATAGCAAAAAATGCAGATAAACAAATCTGTAATTCACAATGCCACCAAGGAATCTCCCCTTGGCAAGGGCCTGGGTCCTGGTGAGCACAGGAGCTGTTGGTGGCCAGGCTGGATAGGAAGTTACAAACCAGGACTCTTAAAAACCCCAATGTTCGGACGTTTTCTGAACAGTTACACTTACCCCTGAATTCTAGCAGCTATTTGTCCTTTAAACACCCAGTACTGAAACAGTATTCAAAGACAGTATTGCAATGAAGACCTTTTGCTGTATCATGTGCAAATGTTACCTATATGAGGTTCCCTCTCTTCAGCTAAAATCACACAACATTAAAAATAATGGAAAAAGCAATTAGAAGTGCCCTCCCCTCAGTTCTTGCTAATTGAGGTGTCTGTGATTTACAAAAAAAGAGTTCCTTAAACACTGCAAGATTCTTATTTTTTTTAATATAATTTATCTTGCTGAGATAGCAAGTCAAGTTTATAAAGATGCATTTAGGAATAATCCTAAAAGATAAAGCAGGTTTATAACCCTGCGCTGCACAGAAACCCTATTTAGAGGCTTTTCTTTCTTTTTTAATACATTTTGACCTTTCACTTGTTTTTCTCAAATATTTCTTTCATTTCTGGGCCCCATCCATTACAGGGTTACCAGGAGGCAAATTTTATCTACATAAATATTCACATGAAAATAGTAACTTACAAAAAGAAAAAAAAAATAAGGCAGCTTCATAACACAATTATTCTTTTACACTTTTAACAATATAACTTCTCCCGTTCAGAATAAATATACACCCAATGTATGGAGCAGGATTCAAAGTGGACAGAGGCTTGGGGGTGCTTGTACAGTGTTATCGCTTGGGAACTGGAGTCCTGGGGGAGGCAGTGGTGGTCTTCTTCGACATGGTTGGGATTTTGGAAGGCTTGTTTAGCCCTCTCCTGGAGCTGCCCTGGCCTCCAGCAGCACTGCTTTCTGAAGTGTCTGAACAAGCAGACTGCGTCTCTAAAAGGTCAAAGTCAGAGGCATCGCTTCCTCGCCGGCTGCTGGCTCGACTTCCAGCTCGACTCCCGGCCCGGCTCCCAGGGCGACTGGCTGACTTTTTAGGGTCTGGAATTCAAGAATAAAACAGCAGCCTTAATAAGAGATGTCAGGATTCTGAGCCTAATACCACTGTGTGACGTTGGGCAAATCAGAGCCTTTCTGGACCCCGTTCTCCTCATCTACACAGAAGTCTCTGGTTTTATGATTCTACTGAAGCAGCTTGCCTCCTGAGGATTACAAACGAGCTTCTATCAGCAGCACTGTTAACCTCATATGTCCCCGAGGTGGTACTGGGCAGGGCTGCTAGCTGGGGTAACCCAGGGGCAGGTTGAAAATGGGGGCGATGGGAAACAGTTGCCATCTTTCCCTGTCTCAGCTCACCAGCAGTGATAATAAATACAGGCTGTCAGAAAAAATTACCAGAAAATTGCCAATCCCAACACTGGACAGGCTTCTGAGGAAGGCCCTGCTTCAGGAGGCTGTTTTCATTTACATTCTCCCAAATATAATCATTTCTGATCAAGAATAGGTGGTCTGGCTTTGGCTGTGGAAGCACCTACTCTCAGAAGGCAAGTCTGAGCTCGTTGTAGTGATGGGAGGAAAAGTAAAGGTCAGCAGAAAATCTGCAGTTGTGTTTTCTGGGCATCACACCTAACTGTCCTCTCACAATCTGCTCCTTGGGGAGCAGTGAAGCACGCCGATGGGCTGCTGTCTCCAAATTCCTAGCCTGGCCATGACCCCCACACCCCCATCCCAATGCACAGGTACTGCGGCAGGTACTTACCTGCCCGATTAGTTTTGGCACCTGTGGAGGCTGGGGAAGAACTATTGCTAGTATCACCAGCAAGGGATGTTCGACTAGAATGAAAAGTTGGTGTTGGCCGTTTCAATTTGCTGCCTGTTGATGGGGTAATCTTAAAAAAATAAAAAGTTCATATTTACTTGGTGAAATCTTTGACAGAAATTCAATTTTAAAATTTAAAATTAAAATTTAGATCCTTTAATCTAATTGATTGAAAAGCAAATTAAAAGTCCAGGAAAACAAAGATTGATTTTGAAAGTGTCCTAGGTCATGTATTTTTGATGATTCCCAAAATAAAGACTTCACATTCCAATTTTAAATTTCAAAATGCTTCTAATACCTTTTATCTTACTGACAAATTTCTAATAAAAATGGAAAAAAATCTTCAAATAGTAAGAGTACAATAGTTTTAACAAACAGAAATATGGTGAATGAGTCAAGGAAAAAAATCTAAATAATCCCAAGTATTAAAGCTTTGGGGTTAGAAATGTGCAATATGAGTTCAAGCCCCACATATTTAATATGGAGATCTGAAAATTACTCCAATCTCTATCACTAGGTAGGTACAGAAACTTCTGTCACGATCTTTCAGTCCATTTCCTCACTGGTAAAATGTAGTTAAAATTACTTGACTTTTGGGTCAAATGAATGATTAGGAGAAGTACAGAGTGTGGCTGTGATGTCAGGAACACGGAGTCTGGGCCCTGTGACTTACTTAAATTAATCTCTGTCTTTACTTCTCCCTCAGAAACTCAGGGCCACTCTGACTTCATTCCTGCTACACCCCCTCCCGTTCGATCTATCCCAGCCACACTAACTGCCTTGCTGTCCCTCCAACAGCCCAGGGATGGTTCCTGTTTGTTGTCTGTTTTTCCTGCATTAAAGTGTAAACTCCACAAAAGCAGGGACTTTTGTTTTTGTTCACTGTCATACCCTCAGCACCTAAAACGCTGTTTGGCACTGAGAGGGGGCTCAATGAAAACTTGTTGAATGAATAAATCATGTGTAGGAGCACTTCCTAAACTGGAAAAGAGCGGGATAGATGTACATTATTATTACTGCTACTGGTAGGGAGCTGCCTTTCCTATCTTTTTTTTTTTAAAGACAGTAGCAGACTTAATTTGGAAAAAGAATATTTTAAATCTGTTTGAAGTTATCACTCCATGCCACAGCATGCTATTCCAATTTTTCTTTGAAGTCAATTGTGTAAATTGTTTTCCAGGACCTTTAAAATGTTTATACACTTAGAAGAGTAAAGCAACCCATTTCATTGTGATTCTTGTATTTCTTCAATATATAAAGCAGCAGCAGAAGCGACAGAAAGTGATTAACGTTCAAGCACAAACCCTCCTGGCCCACACAGGAGGAAGAGCACCAGTTTCAGAAGCTACTGTTGGGAGCACTGCTGCTGGGAGTACCGCAGCCCCAGAGGCCCTGGCCTGGGAGTCCCCATGCGGATATGGTCTGGCTGCAGAACACCAATAGGTAAGGAAAGATGAAACCTCGAGATGAAATGAAACAAAAGGTAAAACTAACTTAAGATGAAACAAAAAGGCTGATCTAGCAGACTCCTGTGAGAATTTGCACTTCATAATTAAAACATTTAACATTTTAGAACTTTTGAAATGTTCATGAAACTGGAGCCACTGAGGAAGCAGAAAAGCAAGCTAAGCAGGTTGAGTCTTGGGGTTTTAGTGGCGGTAGGTCCCTGGATCATGTTCTAAACTAGATCTATTTCTGAACTGGAGTTTTAGCTTGGAGCAGGATGAACCCCGAGGCAGCAGTCCTTTCACAGGCATTGGCTTCTTGTACCTCCCGATTTCTATGGCTGAAGCATTCCATGACTGAAGGCAGTGCTATCTGTTGAGGCACAAGAACCCAATGTTTCCCAGCAGAAGCTAGAATGCAAGTTGTTCGGCTATCAGCCGCTAGCCCATGTTTTGTTTCTGAAACACCGCTCTTTCAAAAGTGCTTGTGCATTTGAATGACTGCACACGAGCATGCTTAACTGTTCATGTGTATTCAAATCAAGGCATAGAAACCCAAGTGCCTAGGCCAGGAAATCCAGAAGCTAAACTCTGAGCCTAACAGCAGCGTCCACTGATACTGTGCTTGGCTGAAGTGGGCAGCACCCACGTCTCGAACCAGTGTGGCGAAGCCGACCACCCTGGGGATGTGGCTCAGGGCAGGAGCACCAGCCACTCTTCTGTTCTCAGCAAAGATAGAAAACTGCTGAACATGCACCATAGTTGAATTTCAAGTGTTCATAACTCATCGGTGTGTCTGACAACTGGAGATTCCAAGAGGCCCGATTATAAATACTATCAATAAACACATCACCAGGAATGACCAATGTTTATCACCCTGAACAAATATCATTCTGAAGACAATTAGAAACTTGTTCAACAATCTGGTCTTAGGCGTCTCTTATTTATCTCCAATTTTAGTGAATCTGAGTTAGAAACACCTGAAAACACTTGACTAGATGAATCAGCTGTGAGAGCAAGCACCACAAGGATAGAAAAGAGCATGGACTCATGTCAGGAAGAGCAGCTGGTCAAGTTCTTGGCATTAGTGAGGGCCTCGTCTTGACGGCGTCCTTAGTCAGCAAAGCCATACTCTACCTCGGGGCTGGGCAGCTGGAGGTCAGGACAGTGGCTGTCCCTGACAGGGGTGCCAGCTTTACTGTTTACCAACCAGGGTTTGTCATAACAGCGAGAGGACTGAAGTGGTGTCTGCGAAATGGAAATCCAAAGGGAAGGATGGGAACAATTGAAAATGGAACAGAAAGGGAGCAAATTTGGAACATAAAAAAAACAAATAGAAGACACTAAATTTTAAAGAAACAAAACAAAGTAAGTGCACATCAGTCCAAGGGGATGGAAGGGACCAGGCAGAAAGGCAATAAATAGCATGCTTCATAGGTGACCCATCATCACAAACCTATCTGTTAGCTCCAGCTGCACAGACTGTGACTGGGTTTTCAAAAGCAGTAACTGGATAGGCTCAAACTCAAACTGGGAATACATGAAAAACAGCACTTCTGACTTAATGACCTGAGTACATATTTTAATAAATGTTCTTTGTAGTCATCTTCCAGGCCCTCCATCTGTGCACCGCTAGGGCCTGGTCAGCCTGGTCTAGGCAGAGCTTGGTCCATATATCTTCACGTTCCTCTCCTCACTAGAGTCTCTCAGAGGCTACAGTGAACAGCGAACATCTGCAAAGAGGGGGACGGGGAAGGAGGCCATAATGGCGGTCAGTACGTACCTTGGTGCCACTGGCTGGGGTGGCTGGAGAAGATGGCATGGATGTACAGCTGTGGTTACTCTGACTAGCGCTGGAGCTGGAGCGGGTAGGCGAAGCTGCCCGGGAAGACGGTTTGGACCTTCGACCCCGTGATCGGAAAGGGGTCATTCCCTGGGACGCTCCCTCAGGTAGGATGAATTTCTCTCTAAGTTCGATATTAGTTCTACCTCGTGCTAAAAAGGAAATAAACACATAAACACACACACACACACACACAATGTCAGTTAATCTTAAAAATTGCATCTCTAATGGTCATATAGCTGCTTGCCCCCATAATAAGTTACATAAGTTACAGGTTTAGTACCATCTGAGGATTCTTCTAAAACAGAGATAAATTCATGAGCTATCAGCCTTGTCATGATTCTGACCCATAGCAGACACATTAATAATAAGCCCTTTGGTTCGCTATAAGAAATCTTTGTATACAAGGTGCCATCACATTCTGTTGTCACAAGTGTGCTGTGCCACTGTCCCCTGGGGTAAGCACAATGCAGCTGGTCAAGGGACAGCAGATGCAGCAGTTCAGGCCTCTGATCTGAAATCAAACCCCACCTTTCTCTCTCACAGGACATGTGTACTTTTTGCTCAGCTTTTGTAGGATACATGGTAACAAAATAGTGAAGAAAAACAGATCACTGAAATCAACATTCTCCAGACTCTTCTATTTGAATTCTGCCGATAATAATCCTAAAGAAAGGGGACCAGGAGCTTGAGGCAGTGAAAAGATCAGTACAGAATCATTCGGAAGTAAACATGTGACCCAGGGGAGGGGAGGGAGGGAGAGAGAAAAAAAACACATACATGTGTACAAGTACAGGTAAAAATCTGAGGTAAAAGCAGCTTTCTGCTGTTGCAATGTGCACGTGGGGGATTAGTAACTGCTCTCTTCTTGAAACACTCTCCTCCCTCGGCCCCCAGGACACCACTATCCTGCTTCTCCGCCTCCCTCCTTCCTGCCACTTCTTAAAAACTGACATTCCACTGAGTTCTGTCCGCAGTCATGTTCTCCCTCTTTAACTTTTAACCTGGTGATGAGCTCATCCACCTGAGACTTCAGTGCCATCAAGTCATGCCTGACTCCCAAATATATCCCAGTGCAGACTCCACCCGAAGTCAGAAGTTATAGCCAATCACTGATTAGACATGATCAAAGCCAGAAACCTGGGAGCCAATGCAGGTCCCTCCTTCCTGATGGCAGTTTGGTCTGCTGTCTACCTTCTAATGCTTTCTTGAATCCGCGAGCCTTTCCGCGCCCTCCTACACGATGTGATTCACATCGCATCTCCTGCAACCTGGATGCCTGTAACAGGCTTCCCACTGGCCTCCTTGGTTCTCATCTTAGTTCCCATTCCTCCCTCACGCCTCATTCCCCAGACTCAATTTCTCAATAAAAATCTGCTATCTGTAAACGATTCAAAGTCCTCCCACAATATTTCATTGCTAACAGCAGAATTTCCCAAACTGAGGCTTTTGAGGGATTTCTTATAAAAAGGAGTTTAGTAAATGCTGTATGCTACATTTCCCCTAGGAGAGCCCTAATGCAACTGTCATTTTGTAAGCTCTGAGAAGTCCTGCAGTAAAGAAATATGCACTTGACCATGATTTTTAGGGTTTTTGAACATCACATGTAGGAGACCAGACCCTAAAGGCAGCCATTTCAAGTTCAGTTTTCAACTACCAAAAAGGCCATCATTTTCTAAGGGATTTATGCTGGTCACCTGATGTTGGCTGGAACAGGTCTGTGAGTTAAAATTTAGTTCTAAGCTATTGTCTAACAGGTAGCGTTTTGGTTTTATAAGATGAAAAGAGTTCTATGGATGGGTGATGGTGATGATAGCAAAACAGTGTGAATGTACTTAATGCCACTGAACATAAAAATGGTGAAGATGGTAAATTTTATGTATGTTTTATCATAATTTAAAAAAATCAGTTCCAGGCCAAATTGTGTCTTAAAACTTCATAAATAAAGTTTTTCTAGATTTTCACTAAAATTTGGAAGAACCAATTTGTCTAATGCTCAGAATCATACACAGTACCGTAGCGTAAAGGTGTATCTAATTGTTAGGCAGGGGCATTCTTTTTATCTCAATCCAAAACATCATGATTTTCGTTGCCATTAATGGAATCAGAAACTTGAAATCTCCCCTTCTGGCAGTACCAGGAACCTAACTGTTAAATATTTCCACTTTTTACATTTGGCTAAAGCAATGAAGAGTTTGAGATGTCTTTCATCTTTTTCAACAGCTATGTAAAAGGAGATAAATGATTGTAAACATTGTCATAAATTTTGTCATCAATTTTTTACTGTCCTCAGTATAAGACTGTCTAGGTCTATGATCCAGAGAGCCAAGGAAATGCCACACAAATAAACACAAAATCTACCCCAAGCGGCACTTCTAGAAGCCACAGTCATCCTCATAGGACCCTAGATAACTTCAAGGAACTTTTCTGTGTGACATTCATGACTTTCCAAATCACTTATTATATCCGCCGGAGTCCTTAAGTGTCCACCTCCTACAACAATTTTTATTTGAATAGAAGTAGCTCATCCTGTCCATCACTGGTAGTTATGATATCTAAGATTGCCGGGATTCTTGACTCTGCAATCAATGGAACTGAGGTGATTACTGAGCTCTAGGAAGGCACTCCTGGAGAGGCACTGGGGAAAGCCTTACCGTGTGTGCTCCAAGGGATGCTGAAAATAGCTACGAGATGGCCCTTCAAATTTCCTTGGGTTTCTAATTTTTAGATAATAAGGACAAAGCAAGCAGTGTTCTCCTTGGCCAGCAGCATAATGTTATCATAGATACAGCAAGTAGAGCAGGCAGCAAACAGGCAACCAAAGATCCTAAAATGTCACATGCAGTATCTCTTTTGCTTGTTTAGTCCAATCACACGTGATACAAAAAAAACCAAAAAAACTTAATAGATTTAGAAAGAAATAATGTTGTTTTACTGAGTTAAAGTTAAAATGATATATACAGTTCCTCATTTAAAACAGTAAAAGAGGATTTTTATGTCAAGGAAATTGGTTTGCAATATAATTAAATTCTAAAACTGATTAAACCCTTTCCAGTTTTGACCAGAATAGGTGTTTTCAAAATTAACAATTTTCTAAAAAAAGGAACTCCTAATGAAAATTATCACTCTGGTTTATTGAAGTGATTTAACAATGAGCTAAAATAAGAGGAACTATTTGTGAGCATATCTGAATTCATGTGAGAACAGCACACTCTTTAGATCTAAATGCTTCTGAATATGACTATAAATCACTTCCAAAGGGGTTATATAATTGTACTGTAAACATGCCTGCTAGGTTTATAAATAAGCCTTAATAATCTAATTGTGCAGGCGGAACCACTAATCCACACACAGAAAGGGGAGATGGTGGGTATGTTAGCTTCTGAGACACACGGCGTGTTGGTCGGGAGCACACTCTCTAGAGCCAGACTATCTTGGATTGGAATCCCGTCTCTGTCATTTATTAGTTGTCTGCCCTTGGGTAGGTTATTTAGCTTTTCTATGCTTCAATTTCCTATTCTATAAAATGGAGATAAAAACAGTATCTACACCTCATGGAGGTGTAAATGAATTATAGTAAAGTTCTTATAATAGTGTGTGGCATATAAAGCTATATGAGTATTCGTTAAATAAATAAAAACTCAGAACAAATTCTATGCATTCTGTCTCAACAGGAGTATTATATGCTCCATCAACTTGTAATAGTTAGAAAAGCTATGGTTTGGCTATTTCAAAGCATTCATAAAGGCAGCAGATACCATAGAGCCAAGAGGTGCTACAGTTTAAGAAGCAAAGCCATTCTCAACAGGCTGGGGTGTGGTAAGAGGGACAAAGCTTAAAAGCCAACCTATGGGAGACTGACTGGAAATCGAAGAGCTGGAATCAGAGCGCTTTATTTTACTCCCAGGATGGTGAACTAGAATAAAAAATATGTAAACACAAAGAAACAGAGCAGGAAATGCAGAAACTGGTCAAGAAAGACAAATTGGCCGACAGTAGGGGAGCCTCCCACATATCCACATGCAGCTTGGTTAATAGGAAAAAGGAAAGGACCCAGCTGAAGAAAACGTAGCAACTGGAAGCTGATCATCTCTCCCCTTGCTGCAGCCCTCACACGCCTCTGGCTGCAGGTGCCATCATTCATATTCAACGTACTGTTTCCTTTTGTATTTGGGCCAGCATGCCAGACTTTTCATGTTCAGCAGACAAAAACCCCCTGGTCTTCCATAAGTAATCATCTGTCTTGAAGTGTCTAGGCTCACTTGTTAGGTGTTCTTCATTCCGCCTCCCGGTCAAGGGAGCTCCCCAGTCCTTCCGTGCCTGGGAGGGGTCGCTACCCTCCCCGAGTTGCAGGCAAAGGGGACACTAACAGGGAACCTAAAAGGCTTCATCAGGCTCCTTTCTAGGCTGGTGCTTATTTAACACCTCAAACCGAAATACTCAATGACAGCAATAAATTCCCAATTCTCGCTATTCTCTCCCGACAGCACCAGCCTCTTCTGCTCTCTTTCCCTGGTTTACTCTGTCGCCCTCGGTCTCTAATCTGTGCTAGTGTGATGACGTCTGGGCAGCTCAACAAACAAAAGAAACAAACAGACCCCACCACCAACACTGTGTAAGCACGTGAGATCGGCACTGAGGGCATGCTTTGTGCTCAGGACGGCTCCTTACCTCGGCAGGGGTCATTTTTCACCAAAAATTCATCCAGGGCCATCCACCCTCCACCGACGCGGACCATCACCGTGCTGCGCAGGATGCGGACCAGCCGCAGCTGCTGGGAGTCCCCGAACTGCAGGACCAAGGGGAGACTGATGAGGGAGTGCCTTGGAGCAGGCTGCACCGCCTTTCCAGAGCAGACTGTATTCAAATACAACCACAGTCGGGTCGTTTGGGGAGAATTTTAACTCCAACTATTTTTCATTTTCCACAAAAATAATTTTTTTAACTTTTTTTAAAAATTATAATTTATTGGGGTGACAATGGTGAAAAAGAATTTAAAATACGGAAAAGCTGAAATACCAAGCTAAACGCCAGTAGCTTGATATATGCTTTCTATTGGGATAAAGTTAACTTCTGATGGTCCTGCCCCCAAACCAACGGGAAGGCAGAGGGTAGACACACGTCAGCTCACGTTGATACTTTAAAAAATTCTGCCCAAATTAAAACCCAGTAATGAAATTCTTCATTATGTTAGTTTGTTTTCATAAAAGGTAGCTAATAAGGTGAGTGTCAACTTCTGAATACAGTGTGCTCAAAAGTTAAATGGAGAACAGCAAATATTATAGTATTTCAAGCCTTAAGGAAGCCCTTGCAAAGCATCATTCTTATTACTAGCTTAGAAGGAAATTCGATTTCCCACATCAGGTTTTCAGAAATAAACCTAAAGTATTCTCTAATTGTGATGTCACCAGCAGAAAAGCTTCTTTAGCTGAACAAATGATTAGATAGTATTTGTACTAAAATTTAGTTGAAGAAATCAAAATTTTAATTTACCATGCTGATTATAAATAGAATTCAACAATCATTTGGGGATGTTAAGACAAGCATGGCTCTCTGATATTTACTTTTTCCTTTTTGGCCTAATTCCTACTTCTTAGCCCCGTTAACATCTGAAGTTTCCACTGCATAAATTACCCTCTTCCCAAAATAAACTAAGAGGCAACAAAAGAGAATCATGCTGAGACCCCAAAAGAAAAATCAAACTGTTGGAGAAATACCATTCCTAAAATTATTTAATTCGAGGAAAATGTTGGGGTGGGAGAGTGGAGAGAAAGAAGGGACTAATTAATCACTTAATTAGGATTTTCAAAGTTATAAAGGAGAACCATAACTTTGAAACAATGTAGACAAACTGAAAATGCCAGAAAGGATGTTTGAGAAGAACACATAACCAACCTCCCCCCAAATTAATATATTTGTCGTAATTCTTTTATTATTTTGCACTGACTCAAGAGCACTATTTATACAGGTTAGGTGACTGAAAAATATCACCCCCCCAAACCTTTACTTTGAAAATAAAAATAGTCCTCCATCTTTCACCCCATACAGTTGAAAAGATTTTATACAAAGTGACCACAGCAACAGCACGGTGTAGTGTGAAAAGCACTGAGGTGGGGACCCAGAGGTGTGAGGGAGTAAACGTCCTGTCCCGGGAAGGAAGCTGCCCCTCTGGCCCAATGAGTGAAAATGGGGAGGCCCTTTGGGGGGAACTGAGGATTCCACCAGGCCCAAGAGCAGTAACGGCCTGAGTCACAATTTGGGGTTCTATCCAGATAGGTGAGGAGAGGAAGGAAATAAGGGCCTATATGTCCTCTAGAGTGAGTCAAGGAAGAACCACATTACTGTGTCCTGTAATTTATTTTCAGTCTTTAGAATTACTCCATTTATTTCATTCTTTTCCCCCTTAATTTCTTACTAAAGCCTCCTCCGAGAGATTCTAACTTGTTTCTGCTGAGCCATGGGGAAAAGTCTGACCCAAGTCTGCAGCGACAGTGGCTGGGGAAGCTGAGGAGAGTGATGGAAGGGGTTACAGCAGCTCTGAAAATGGGGACCTGCGCAAACCTGGCAGAGCTGGTTGTCTGTAAGGCAAACACCCCAGAACAAAATCTTAGGGGCAACAGTAGCTTCTGTTTCCTTCTCTTAAGTGGAATTTCTCTTACAGTGACAAAGGTACTTGCAGTGGCTATGACTTTAGCAGTGTGACTGTCGGCGTGTGATCCTTTAGGCCTCCGGTGCCTCATGTACAAAATGAACTTCACAGCTTGGTTCCCAACATTGGAACCAACTCATTTGACCCTCTGCTGGTCACTGGAGCTGTAGAGGAGGACATGAGTGCCACCTCAGAGGGGCCCCTGGTACCTGCATGCTGTCATCAGCGAATAGGCACACCCTTGAGGTACTACCTGGCACTCCTGTGCAATGATTTATTTATAGCGAGTTTCACTGTTCCTGTTTTTAGTTTCTTTCTATCCTCTGTTCTTCCCACTGGCCCAGAAGGTTACTGTCGTTAGTGATTATTACAGTGCCTGGAATTTAACATTGATTGAGGGCCTCAAATCAACTTAGTGTTTCTGATTTCTCATCACAAGACAGACTTTACCCATGCAACTTCCTTCCATTTGAAGACACAGGACCCCAGAGCCCTCAGAAAGATCTAAAAGGTTCGAGTTACCAAGTAGAGTCAAAAGCATTCAATCTTTTTTGCAAGTCTAATTTGATCCCATTAGATTTTGGCTGGCTGGCATAAACGGCAAACTTCAGGCTATGGCCAATTATAATTTCCACACTACACTTTCTGGGTACCTTATAATGATAAAATACCGTAAGTGCCAGTAACTATAAATATTAATGAGGTATTTAAACAGACTGAGTATTTAAATACCCCAAGACTTTCTGACTTGGTGTACATTATAAAATTTGTGTTAACTGTCAAAAGACTTCAATCGAGACATGCTAACTGGCATTCCGAATAACTTCCCACACAGAAGTACAAGACCAGACTCTTTTTACAAGGATGGGTTACAACTCAGTGCAGCATAGTATCATCATCTTAAGCCAACCTAATTTTGAATGGAAAATTTCATCTCCTTTGAAAAACAATATCGACTTACAGATCCTTTTGCTGCTAAGACAGCTCTACAACACTAGCCCTGTGAGCAGTTCCTCTACTTGGTAAGACAACCAGATGTGACCCAGGCATGCTTCAGAGTATGTCCTCTCCCATAGCAAAGAACAGGCATTAGCTACACAGATCATTTCCATGGAGGAGCATGTTGCAAGGCACACTGTACCTGATTGCCGAGGAAGAACTACAGACAGTAAGAGTAAAGGACGGAGGAAAGAAAAAAAAAAAAAAAGAACATTTTGTCAAATTAACACTAAGGAATGCAAATCATGTAATCATGTTACCAGTCTTCAAGCATAATGACACCTGCTAACCATCTTCTCACCGAGCTCCTCACAGGGACGCGGTTATACAAATTAAGACCTAACCTTCACTCCATGTTGCTCATACTATTAACTTGCTTCTCTCATACATAATTAAAAAGACCCAGGAAAACAAAATCCAACAAGCAAGCGTAAGGCTGCTTGGAGCTTTATTAGCTAAATGCCCTGGGCTGGTCCAAGGCAAAGTCGCCCAACAGTCCCCAGCTAAGAGTAGCACCGCGTGCTTCTGGTGTACTCGGAAGACATTTTTGAGGTACTAATGGAACCTAGATTTTTTTCCTGTTTCTAACTTGGTGCTTGTAACTGTAATCTGACATGGCCTTTTAACTCCTCTGCCAATCCTAGACTTTCCCTAGGACTTTAGAGAATTCCTGACAAGCTGCTGAATATATTTTGGGAGTCCTTCTATGTCCCGATCCTGGTCCCAAAAGCTGAAACAGCACAGTTCACTGTCAGTTGTGTTGTGGCCACACTCAGCATGGCTTTCCAGGGATCACTGAGTGCGGCACCACCCAGGGCATCCAAGCCGTTTATAGCCCAGCTCAGAGGAGGCAGCATGTCCCCTGGGCCTTGACACAGTCCCTCCAGCCCTCTCTGAGCCCAGGAGTATCCAGGCTTACAATGACCAGCTCTTTGGGGTGAATGGTCAGTCATTATCTTACAGTAGAGGTGTCCTTGTTTCCCTAAAGACTTTGGTGAGCAACAAAAAGAGGGCTTTGAAATGTCTCCTATATTGAACTTAAGTACAATACAAGCTACTATTAGCTGACACAGCACTGTTTTCAGATGGACTACGTAGGGGACTAAGCTTAGCCCAACAGGACACCTGACATTGGGAATCTATAGAGACAAAAACGTATCTCAGGTCCCACTGGCTCCGGTCCTCCAAGCACTGGCAGTGGGAAGGTGGGGGTCATCGATTTGGCTGTGTGCCAGGCTGCCTTCACCTGTAAGGGCCATGTTGGAGGAAAAACCGCCACAAAGAACTGCTTTTCTCCTCCTTACCCGGTATTTATTCTCTCCAATCTGCTCCACCTGGAACCTTTTTGCACATTTGCACTGAGCCACTTGTCTTGTGACCTATTGGTTGCAAATAACAAAAAAGAAAAGTGTGAAGGGTAAAGCAAGGCTTCCTCTTCAAAGAAACAAAGATTTTTACATGTAAACAGAGAAGCTATTCATTATGTATTTTTAAGGCACTTCAGGATTTTAACACATGCATTTATCTTCTATTCTGAATTAAGACACACTGTTCTTACTAACTGGGACACTTGAGACATCCAAAGAGAAAAAGTATGAGGAATTCCCAAGTAACTATCCTGCTTCAAAATTCCTTCAGGAAAACGTGCTACTATGCATGCATCAAAGTCAGCTAACAAAGCAAATTATGAACTGATGTGAATTTCAACCTAGGAGCCTGACGTTCCCCAGAAGTCAGTCCTGGAGAGTTCCAGGCCACTCCCAAGACCCGCCCCACTGCCTTTCCTTTCCCAGATCAACAGATCTTGGGCTCTCTATGTGCTACTATTGCATTTGCTATTTTCACTGTGGTACAGTTCTTAACTAGGCAGAAAGCTTGGTGGTACACACCATCTTAAACACTAGTTTACACTTCACCCCTTAAATGCTGCATTTGAAGACCACTCCCCTGGGTCCTGAGTCAGGATGCTCAGGACTGGGAGACGAGTCTATTAAAAACACATGGTATCTGTGAACCAGGTTAAGGTTCTCTGCAAACTTCAGAGCCACACAGATGTGGCTCAGTTGTGAGAAGTCATTTAAACTGAGCTACAGTGTCACAGCCAGAGATCCTCTGGGGCAACGTCATCCAGAGGGGGATCACCAAAGAGAACTCCAAACAATCACCTCCTAACAGAGGAGG